CCAGTGCGTTGTGATTGGCCGAATACCTCAAGCGTGTGACGGAAATGTTACGCCCCTCACCATACTGTGATGCTGTGTCCGGCCGGAGCGATGATTCAAAAACATGAAAACCCATTATAAACTAAGCATTTGTTGCACCCAGTGAAGACATAATTACTGATTATAATGACTTATACTCTCTATTTATGCGTTGCGTTGCATCGCGCCGCGTAAACATAAAACCATGTCTGCATTTGTGATCGGAGAAATTACAAACAAGCGCTACTCTACACTGCTCAAAACTCCCGTTTGAATCATCACTGACAAATCCTTTAAATTAGGGGTCGACCGTTATGTGTTTTTCAGGGCCGATGCCGATACCGATTATTACAGATCAAGTAGACCGATAACCGATATTTTGAACTGATATATATGTCTAGTGTAAAAATTTTAATTAATGTCAAAATTAAGAATAACAAGGGCTCTGACAAAAACTGCCTTCCCTGGTGTTGGTTGAGTGTAGTACTCCCACAGTAAACGCTTAATTTTTGGGGGTTTACCATTAAAATTAAAACATGGAACAAATAGCGTATTGTGTGATTATTCTTTTAAACAGAAGTTGTAATAATTGTAGTAGTCAGGGGTTAAAGAAAAAAAAAATCTTTTGACTGAAAATTTTTCCTCGGCCTAACCCCATTCCTCAGCCATACCTGTCACACACCCAGTTTAAGAGCAGTGTTTTTCTTCTTGTAATCAAGAGCACTTGTTAAGTTTTTTTTAATATTTAAAAAATTAAGGAGCACCTTCTGATCAATGATCAAAAATTAGCCTTCCTAACATGAGGTAAAGTGATTTACATTTTCTTCTTACCTTTGCAATGGCATCATTTTAATCTGTAAAATTCAAAAAATTGTTTATAAGCTTTTTAAAATTTCTATTTAAAACAATATAATAAGAAGTAGAATAAGACAAATAAGTTACCAATCATGAAATTAGTATTAATGAAAAATTAATTTGTACTACAGAGGTGGCACAGAAGAACACAAAAGTGGCTTGTAGGTACATTTTCAGACATTTAATGAGGCTCAGAGGTGGCATGAGTGCAATTCAATTCATAAATTCATGTGGAGATTAATGTTTTAAATAAAATTTTGAATACAGAAATATTAAACTATTTAAATAACTGCAATTATACCTAAAAATGAAACTGCCAGCAGGTGGCGGCAAATCACGGATTTTATCATTGAATCATTCATTCAGTTGATTTGTTTGAACGGCTGATTCATTCAGGAATGAAGCACGTGACTGTCTTTATGAATGTGTGATCATGAATCACTGACTCACTAGATTAGTTTAACAACGCACTTTCACTCATGAATGAAACACCACTGTGTTTGCTTTTAGAGATGCGCAGCGGCTGAGCTGTTACTATATTTGGAACTATTTTCGTTGATGAAATAGAGCAAAATCAGGCAGTACATGTTTATTGAACTGTTGTATTAAATCAATCACATTTGAATAATTATTAAAATCTGTCACTCTCCTTATGGCGATCTGTGGGCGCACAGAAAATGAGAGTTCTCAAGACTCAAAAGTACTGCAAAGGATAAGATCCGTCATCTGTCATCGCGTTATAAGCGAGGAACCTGCGGGAATGAGTTATTATTAATAGCCGCAATCCTGCGCCTGAAATTCAAGCCCTGCTCTGTGTTCTCTGCTCTACAGTCGGGTTGACTGTGCATGATGCAGGCGTTATGTTGTCCGTGAGAAGCTGCAGCCGTGGCGGGGAGGATGTTTGGTGTGCTGGTGTTCTGACAAATAATGCTACCTATCAGATTATGCTACCAACAAATCGTCAGAACACCGGCAGAACAACAATGTGCTACATGTTTCTTTTCCCCTCGTTTTTTCCAATTGACGGAAATCCGTCGTAGCGACGGAAACTTTCATCCCTGAGTAATATTTACATCATACTGCACCACAGTAATATATTTCTGATAATTTCAAGCTAACCCTAACTTATATTTTGACGGGTTGCCATGAGGAACTTGTTTCTGTAGGTCTATGTAAATGATATGAAGATAGTTTTACTCCAATGAAACTGTCAAATGCTCATGAAGTGACTCTTAGAGGGAGTCAGAGCAGTTCTGGAGATGTTGTTCATGTATTTATGTCCTCATGTGCTGAAATCACCGCGAGCGTCGCACACTTTGCATGTGTAGAAAACAAAACCACACGTCTGTACCATTTACATACACAGAGACACGCAGAACATGCTGGATCCATATTTAAACAGTATTTTTGTGGCTGAATATTCACAGATACTAGTCCATGTTGCGACTCTATTTAAGTGTACTGACCTACTTTTGATTAATTCATCCAAACTTTGACAAATTCAGTGACATTCCGCGTCATACAGTCAATTCCATTTATGACTGGATTCCACAATTCCGGCAGCGTTTTCCGCATCGCAGAAATCATAGATAATATTGAGGTGTTTGCAACTTCAGTGTAACGTTAGTGGATTGGGAACTATTGCAACTTAAGCTACCTCACCTTTGAGAGACAACTGATGCGTGATCACTAAAGCAGCTCCAGTTAGCAAGCGCTTTTAGAGTGAGAGTGAATTCCGCTTTGATTGGTCGGACACGTGACTCCCAACAAATCAGATGAGTGGTGGGCGGAGACTGCTTTAGGCCACAGAGTGGTGAGTTCTGACAGGCTGCATCAGAGCCAAATAGCGCGTTTCAAAATTAAGTTATTTTATCGGCGAATCGGTTTTGAAAATGACCGATACCGATAATCATAAAATGCTTAATATCGCCGTCGATAATCGGCCAGGCCGATAATCGGTCGACCCCTACTTTAAATGAAACCGTACTTACAGTCTGTGAGTCAGAACAGCCGGCATTGTAGTCTACTCTCCCAGGATCAGGACACAGTCCTCCATAAAATGTGCTGCACACATCTGAATATTTGGGTTGAAGTGTTCTGGAATAGTGTTGTAAATACAACTTAACCACTGATTTCTAGTCGTGTCCTCTTTTGGAAGACCAAACAAAGTAGTTTCCTTTCACAACGAAACACACCGAGAGCTAGAGTGAGCAGAGGCGGCTGGCTTGAGAACGGTGCGGCCGGCGGATTCGTCCGGAGGGCTTGCGGCAACCACATGTGACGACCCCGGGCTGGACTCCGCTTCGTCCACGGTGAAAGCCGATCCGGCGATCTAAAGCGCAAAGTTGATGCATTCCCTCAGCTCCAGGCATGACGAAGCAGATATCATCCTCTTTTGGAAGAACAAACAAAGTAGTTTCGCTTTCACAACGAGACACACAGCGTCTTCACGACATGGCGGCTGCGGCAGCAACAATACTACAGCGAGAATAAAAGTTACGCCTTCTTTCTTTGCGTGAACATTGAGAGAGTGACATGACATGGGTATGACACAGGTATTACAATATGAAGGAGGTTTACGAGGACACTTCCTGTGTCCCCGCAATTCAGAAGGCTTAAAAAACATATTGCCATAAAATTGCCAGTAGTTTTATGTGAGGGGTAGGTTTAGGTGCAGGGTTGGTGTAGGGTGAGAGAAAATACAGTTTGTACAGTATAAAAACCATTACGCCTATGGAGAGTCCCCATAAACCACAAATGCAAGTGTGTGTGTGTGAGTATGAGTATGTGCGTGTGTGAGAGAGAGTCTGTGTGTGTGTGTGTGAGTATGAGTATGTGCGTGTGTGAGAGAGAGTCTGTGTGTGTGTGTGTGAGTATGAGTATGTGCGTGTGTGAGAGAGAGTCTGTGTGTGTGTGTGTGAGTATGAGTATGTGCGTGTGTGAGAGAGAGTCTGTGTGTGTGTGTGTGAGTATGAGTATGTGCGTGTGTGAGAGAGAGTCTGTGTGTGTGTGTGTGAGTATGAG